TATATATATATAAATTACTCGGAAAAAAGATTGCTGGTATAATGAGAAAGTTCAATAAGATGACGAAACAGATATTTTCCAGAGAGTAGAGAGGTAGATAGAACACATACAGGAATATGATACGACTGTAAATCAACAAGCTCAATCTTTTTTTAATAAATAAAAGAAAGTATTCCACTCCAATTTCCATAGGGAGATCAAAGACTGAACCTTCACCTAGCATCTCTACTCAGCTCTTCCTTTATTAGTTTTCTCCACAATACTTTTGTCTCACCGAGCAGAATAAATCATACACGACAAACTTGAGGTTTTCAATTTAATCATCATATGCACAAAGAATCATATGTCAATAAATTTTGCATAAAGAATATATATACGTGTGTGAGTACTCAATATAAATATTAACATGATTGAAATACCCCATGCAGTTAAACTTATCACCAATATCTAATTGCAGAAAAAAATACGATTAGGAAATCACAATAGTGGGAGATATTACCATTCTCTATAGCATTTTAAGCACATGGCATGGTTACAGTTTGGCAGGACTGCCTTGCTGTTCATCTCCATGCAAATCCCACATTCTTCTTCCCTCTCGATATCTAGCTCCGAGCATTGCCTGTGTTCTTCTTCATCCCTTCTCCTGTACCTCTCGAGGCATAAAGCTTTCTGCTTTTTATCCTCACTATCCGTTACACCTCTTTCGAGTTGCATTAGAGATGGATAAATAACAGCTGGACACACAACCAATCAGTTTTCAGAACTGATATTCGTTTTTTTATTTTTATTTTTTTTCTCAAAAAACGATTAACCAAATATATGAACCAAGAACATTACCATAGAATTCTCGAATGCTGGCTTTTCTCTCATGAGTCGACATAGTTGTGGTGCCATCAACGTATACCTATATACCATTTAACATAATTTGATTGCATTCACTAATTGGAAGAAAAAATAAACCATGTGCATTAACGTTGATTGAAAAATGTTGTAAAGCACAGACTAACCTTATAAATTAGAATTCTTAACAGCCCAAGAGCACCTGCAAGGTGGCAATCAGTCCACTGAACAAGAAAGAGGAAAAAATGAGCAGCCGGGCTGTATGATATCCTCATTTGCAGGCAAGCCCCATCGTACTCTTGGGAAAACTCGGATGCCCTGCAGCAACATTTTACGATTTAGGCCCTACGAATGATTAAATTATAAGCAGGTAACTTCAATATTCACTAACATGACATTAGCTAGGAGATCAGAAATTAGTGTGGATTACTTCAAGAGAATCTAATCAAGAATAAACTCTTTCAGAGAAACAAGCTCCTTGCAGTTCATACTTCGAAGACACATTTTTTCGAAGTTCATAAACTACTAACAGCCTAAAATCCAAAAAAAATACATTTATGGCAACATGAAGCAACCATTAAAGGGAGCTTTAAACAGCTTAAATTACAAATTTTCTTACTCTACAAGCAGGACATGGATTCTCACTATCATACCCGCAAAAAAGTTCAGATTTTGCTTCAGTAAAACAATGAAATTGAACATAAACAGTCTGGATTGAGTGAAATTACACCATACAAAAAACACCAAAATCACAACTAAACAGTTCCCCCAAAGGGCCAAAAAGAAAAGGAGGAAAAACAAACACCCAAAAAAAAAAAAAATACAGACAAGAAAATCATGGAAAAATACAATTTAGGAAAAACAAACATAAACCCATCAACAATCTTGATCGACAATACAATTTAGGACAAACAAACATAAACCCATCAAAAATCTTGATCGACCACGGCAATGAAACCCATCAAAAACCCAGTAAACATTCGAATTTACTCATTTATTTTGTTAGAACAAAAAATAGACGAAGAAGAAGAACGCGCACAGAGTGTTCGCATGCTGAATATCGGCCTCAAGAACTTTGAGCGAGTCCTTGAAAGACTTCCGCACAGGACCTCCGCCGCCGCTCACGTACATCTCTTTCTCCCCCAAAACGATTTTCCGCCTTTTTTTCGCCCTAGAATCAGATAACCATCGGTACGCGGCCGATCAATTATAACTGGAAAAAAATAAAATTAGTTGGAATAAAATTCAGATTCTTTTTGAAAAAAAATTAAAAAAAAAAAAATCTAAACTTTAGATTGATTATCAATGGATTTTTCTAGAATTCAATGACTTTTAGACTGACAGACCCTCTCCAAATTTCGAAAGGTTGTCTTCTACTACTACTGTGGAGCCATTGGGAAAGGGAAACAGATAAAGCCGGTACACGTGGACTCTAGAGGTGCTGATAAAGAGATAATTTTTTCTCTTTTTTTTAAAAAATAAATAAAAGTTTATTTCATTTTTTTTATTTATTGTGAAGCTAGGGTAGATTATAAGCTATAATTGAGGTTATTATATGGAGTATATAATTTACTGAATTTGGTAGCTCGGGCCCATAGTCATTAATTAGAGCATTCATAATTGCATTTTGTATGGTGGGAGCCTTGGAGGTGACAAAATCATGATTACAATAATAATCATAATTACAATAATAATAATAATATGAGCAAAACTTATTTTGTAGGAAATATAAGATAATACTTCGATCCAGTTACGGAATTATTTCGTCGGGATTTGTAACCGTTAGATCATCATATAACTGTCGAAAATAGTTGATCTAACGATTATAAACTTCGACGGAATGATTCCGTAACAGGACCGTAGCATTTTACAAGATAAAAATTGTCCATTTTAAATATGATTTCAATGCATTACAAAACATAGGCATGGACACGGGTCAGGCCAGCCCGAGCCGACCCGAAACCGGTCGGTGGCCAACGGGCCTTGAACCGAGCTCACAGTGTGGTCGAACTGGTTCCGAGCTCATATTTTTAGTTTTTTGAATCGTTTGGCCGGTTCTGAACTTGAACTTGAACTAAAACCAGCGCTTCAGACATTTTACATTATTGTGATAATATTGTAAATATTTTTAACTACAAGATAATATTATCGTGATTGCAAAAGTATATTTCTGGTTTTGTTAATTTGAAATCTATTTGGATATAATAAATTAATTAATCATGATTATTAGAATTAATGCTACAAAAAAAAAAACATTAAAAAATATGCGTTAACTTCAGAGAAATTGATGCGGACATCATATGGACAAATAAATTGCACCATCGGGTGTCTAATTGATTATGTACATTTATTATTGTGTATAAATTAAATGAAATTCGGTCAAGTAATATTTTATTGAGGACACATAATAACAATATAACATGAGAGAGAGTTGTAATTTTCAGTACGCAATTATTTTTTTTTATATATATTCAACTAATTTTGATTGATCAAGACATATGCTACTCACACAAATAAAATTATTGAAATTTTGAAATATTTAAATTCTGTATATTCAATTTCGTAATTTTATGACGATGACCACTGATTTAATGGACCCAATATATTTTCTGGATAAATATATGTGGAGTAGTAGTTTATTGATATTGAGATCGCATGAGAAATACAATTTTGGTCAACTAAAGCTATAGAAATTGAAATCTAATTAAATTGAAATCTAGTTAAAATATATTATTAGTAATTTTTAAATTGTGATAATTAATATTAAATATATGAATAAATTATGACGAACTAATTCTTTTTTTGACAATTATGAGTTTTTTTTTTTTTATTAATAGAAATTTTAATTCAATAATGGAGTCAAGTGGTTCAATTTTCTAATGACGATCTTATCCACTTCGGTATTTTTTTATTTTTTTTTATTCAATCAGCCATTAGCTGTAAATAGTTGGATACGTTACATACTTTCAACAAATTTACAATTTTATATATTTATTTATTTATATATTTCAATTGTAAATATTTTAGTTTACCTAACAACAAACATTATATTTTAAATTACTTGAAGATAGAACAAATTTATTTTATATGAAAGCGCTTTTTTTTTTGGGTGTCCGTCAAGGCGTCAACCTTTTAATTATAATGCTTTGGACTTTGGTATTATAATCCGTCGGTAGCTTTCGGTTATTTATTTTACCTCATATAACATTTCCTTTTTATTTTTATTTCTTTTATTATTTTTTTTTGAAACAGATAAATTTTATATTCTTTCAAAAAGGGAGATCTTACAACAAAGACCGAAAGAGCACTCGCCCTTATAAAAACACCAAAGAGTTGGAATCAGTAGAGATGCTAACCGTAGCACCCTAGACAAAATAGAAAAACGGGGATTGGGTCTAGATCATCCGGAAACGGCAACAGCATTGAACCCGAACCGCTAGAGCCCATTTCCCAACAAAACCAAAATAAGTACTCCAACAAGTAGAGAATACACTAAAAAAACAAACACACACCTAAACTAACTATAGATTATTACCTCCCCAACTACTACCAGCTACCCACAACAGAAACCAAACGGGAACAAAGCCAGCAACCACAAATAATAAGACCACGAACAGGAATAAAAGCGCAACAGAATCGGAGCCCTGAACTAAAAACTCCATGAAGGCTAGGTAGAACTGATGCCAGATCTGAAAGCCATAAGCCACTGCTCGATGGCAAACAGAAGTCTGAATGGATCGACTTGGAACAACGTTTGAGGACCAAACTCGCGCATCCTTAGAGGACCAATCCCGCGGCGAACCAACCGGACGGACACCAGCCTGGAGGAGACGGCGGTGAAGCCATCCGGGCGAAGCTGCGGCCAGGACACCGAAATCGATGGGACCGAGGCAGAGGCATCAAGACAAAACAATGGCACTGAACCTGGCTCGAGAGAGGGATTCTCGGCACGAGCGCCGCTGGCCCTCTCCCACTCACGGCTGTGTTCAGAGGCACCACGAGGTGCAGCACATGAGAGGCTGAAAGGCCACTAGCCTCAAGGCCCAGACGAAGAAGGATCGAGCAGCGGGGATGGAGCTGTGGTTCGCCGGAGGAAGAAGGGGGGACGCGGATGATCAGAGAGAGGAGGAAATTGGCGGCGGTGGGAAAGGGGGGGAGAGGAATTAGGGATTCTAGGAATTAGCTTCCTCATTTTTGTTTCTTTTATTAACTTTTTTTTCCTACATTATCCATTTATTTTCAACTATCCCTTTTTAGTATTTCAGTTTAGGTCATAAAATTATTTTTTACGGATAATTCAACCCTACATATTTATGTAACACATGTTGAATTTATCACTGGATCAACACACATATCAAAGGCGTCGTGGCCACGGAGGTTCCCAAGTTACCACCGCGTGCGGTGATGATGTGCCAACGATTTTTTGCGGAGAAGACATTTAATTTAATAAAAAAATATCAAAGCATAAAAAAAGTATCTTACTGGAAGATTCAAACTGTCAAAATGGCGGATTAGAAGCTCTCGAGAAGACAAAGATTGCAAAATTCAAAAAATGAAAAATTCAGACAGATGAAAACGTCATATATATATATATATATATATATATATATAATTGTATCTACCTAAAATAACATATAAAATCCCACAAAAAAATTTCTCTTTTACTTTTATTAGCAACTTTGTTAAAAAAAAAAGGAAAATGGGCGGACGTTCTTTGAAATTTAAATTTTAAAAGTAAAATTAAAATATGGAAAATACCTAATAAGTTAACAATTGCGGTTCACGTTTGTTTCAGATAATTTGTCCAATATTTTGGTCCAATATTGCTCCTATAAAAAAAAGGCAATAGATAAATTTAATTAATGTACATAATAATTTTGGTAAGATCTTTTAGTCAAATTTGTACTAATTTGTTTTACAATAATATATAAAACGTGTGGATTATAGTAATTCTGATTCATGCATATCTGGTTGAATAAATAATATAAATCTTCCATATCCTTCAAGTAAAATGAGTCTATTAAATTGACAGACCACTTGTATTTCATAGCATGTGCCCGAGATCTTGGTAAGGTTTGCTAAGTAAATATTATACATAATCTGGTCGAATAAAAAAAAAAAAATTGCCATGATCCACAATTTTTTCTTCCCAATTGTAGATCACAATATTATATTCTACATTATTTAATACAAAATACTTTAGTTAAAGAATGTCAATACATAATATCTTAATTAAAGAAAATATTTGTATGTACTGATTTGTTTAGCCAAGTAATATCTGTAGCATCTGCCTACTCAACAGCTATTCTGAAGAAGGTGATGAGCCTAGACAATCGTGGCTGCAACACTTCAATCCAAACTGATAAAAAGGCAAGAATTAGATGCTGGGAATTAAAAGTGAAGAACAAGCTTAAGCATTTTGTGTGGAAGTGCTTTTCTGATTGCCTGTCAGTGAACTCTAATTTAGGAATGAGAGGTATGGAGGTTGATGTTTTGTGTTCTTGCTGTGGGGAGTTGAGGGAAATTGTTAGCCACCTTTTTCTTATTGTTCTCGAGCCCGAAGAGTTTGGAAAATAGCCCCGGTCTCATGGGATGCTCCTGATAAATATGGTACAAATTTCAGAAGATGGTGGTGGAGGATTGCAGAAATAGAGAAATCTCCGACTTCCGAAGCGCGAATCCAACTTTCTACATACATTTTATGGTGGCTTTGGAAGTCACAGAATTTATGGGTTTTTCAAAAGATTTGGATGTCGGAGACTGTGGTTGTTTCTTCGGCTTTGTGTTTCTTCTTTTTCCCTTTCCCTTGTCTTGTTTCTGCGTTGTACGGGGACTAGGTTCTTAGGTTCAGTGGTCCCTTGTGTGTTGTGTTCTGTGTGGTGCGTTTGTTTGTGTGCCGGTTTGCTATAAAGGTGCCAAATATGTGTATTTGCCTTTAGTTGCGATTTGTATTTGTGTTGATAGGCCACCGTTGGAGTGGTTCTCTCGGTTGTTTTGTAAGAGCTAGTGAGCTCTCCGAACTTTGTACATCAACCTCCTGGAGATGTGTCAGAACATCTATAAATTCCCATGAAGTGAAATGGTTTCATATATCAATCTTTCAAGGGCTATTTGCATCATTTTATAAAGTTTATAAATCATCTTGTGTCCTTTTATATCTTGAGAGTTCCGAAACATAATGTTAATATTATAAATATTGTAAATATTATTATGAGTTGCTACTCACAAATAACAACAATAGTTCAAACCATGTATCTTATGTAGTTTACCTTTATGTCCTTTGTAACCCTAACTATAAAAGGGATAACATCCTTCTCCTTGTACACACTTTTTCATTTTCTCGGTTTTACATAAATACAATCGTTCTTCTTCCTTTGTTCTTTATGTGTATTCTCCATCCAAATCCGTTCTCAATCCTATAATCCAACATGGATATTGGTCATGCTATTCATTTGTACTTGTTTATCTGGGTCACCACTACTACTATTGAAAGAAATGAGTCATCGTGAGCTTTGCTTTATTGCTCGATCAAACGAACCAAAGTTCAAGCCCTTCAAAACTCATTAGTTAATTAGTTGAACTTAACTTTAACTCGTTAAGGTTCAAAATATGATTTTTACATAATTTTTTACCTTAACTTAGTTCGTTAAGGCTCGAATTCGTCTTCTTAATATTAGTGAACGAACAAACTCGAGTCTGTTTATCAGTTCGTTAACTAAACGAGCCGATCTCGAGCTTGAATATTAGAATGATTTGAGATATAATTATCCTGAAAATATGTACTAATAATGAAGTCTAAGAAATTGATTTATTTTTGTATGCTATTTTTTTTTAAAAAAAAAAAAATGTTTGTTATGGTTTGCCAAACAATGAATTTGAAATCGACTAATTTTAAATTCTTTTCACAAATTCACCTTAATCCAAACAAGGAAATTAAAGGTAATGGATTTAAATGAAATCCAGTAAGTTTGAAATCCTTTGGAATTTCAAATCATTCAATCCAACGGAGCTTTAGGACAAATATAGAAGTCATTTGATATGTGCGTGTGTGTGTGATCTAAGCGTATGTATTGTGTGTGTGTGAGTGGGTGGGTGGGTGTTTGTGTGTAAGAGCGATTGGAGGGTTGGTGGGGTTGGGGTGGGGCCCACGTATGAGTGGGGTGGATGAGTGTCTTGGAAGTGGAAATTACACTGCTACCCTCAAAAGTATTAGAGATGTTAAATGGGCTAGCCCTAGCGATTACGGGCTAGCCCTAGCGGGCTTCGGGCTAAATGGTCCGGGCCTAAAAAGTCCGGATTTAAACGGGCTACCAATAAAAGGACCTAACCCTAACCCTAGCGGGCTTCGGGCTAAACGGGCTAAACGGACTTTAATAATAGTATTAATAATAATGTATCAAAAAATATCAAAAGTAAAAAGAAAAAAATTATAAAAATTACAACGACTAATTAACGATTGTTTTCGACGGTATTTATTATTTGTGCTCTATATATACAACTACACATCATATATGAACACATACTACAAACTCTTAAAGAATATTTTTTTTTTCAAAAGAAAAAAATATTCAAATTATTACTTACAATTACCATTTCACTACTTATATTTTGTTAATAATTATCTTTCAAAATCAATATAATCTGTTACAGCTCATACTTATATGTGAAGTGGAATAACAAAATTTTAATATACAATGAATCTAAGAGTATATTACTTACTTGCTGCAAATATTTACAACGCCCAACTTAAGTTAAACGGGCCAGCCCTAGCGGATTTCGGGCTAGCCCTAACGGGCTTCGGTTTAAACGGTCCGGGCCTAAAAAGCCCTGATTTAAACGGGCTACCAATAAAAAGCCCTAACCCTGTTTTTTTCCGGGCTAAACGGGCCGGCCCGTCGGGCCAAGGACCATTTAACATCTCTAAAAAGTATACTCTTGACCAATATATGACGAGTTAATTACAAAATCGTCACCACGTGTTTGACTTTTATTACTAATCTTTGACTTCATATTGACCATTCATATTGGATTTAATGATATATATTTATTCCTATTTCGTTCACTATCTACTATTCTCATATGATCCTAACTCTCCTCTCTCTTTCTCTCTATATATACATATATATATATATATGTATATATAAAATAAACTATATTAAAATAATGTCCATGAATATTATCAAACATTCGTGAGGATTTTGTATCTGTTCGATTATTAAACAAGCTTAATTTTCTATTCGAACTAAGCTCGGCTGACAAACAAACAAGTTCGACACGAACGTTCAATTTATTAACAACTTTAATCACACATAAATATATATATATACTCGTCGTCATATCAACACACAACTACACAAATGTATATATATGTATGTGAAATCCGGTTGGACAGTGGGAGTGTTAATTCTCCTACACAATCGGTATCTGAAATCTGAATCACCCCACCGACAAAAGTGGATATGCTGACTAAGATTAGTGTAGATGACAACTCAGTTTGTGGATAAACATAACAACTTATCCCTATTTTTCCTCGTATTAACTCCTAATGTTCCATTTTCAACCACATACAAATTCATATCATAAACAACCTAAAAACAAGGAAAAACTAAAGGAGAAAAAAGATTATAAAGAAAAGTGTTTTGGATAAGGGAAATGCCACGGTCTTGTTACGGTACCATCCCGTCAGGAGTTTTAACCGTTAGATACACATGTAGTTAGTACAAGATAGATGATCCAACGGTTAAAACACAACCGTAACGGGACCATAGCATTTTCCAGTGCATAAAAATTGCCCCACCGGTCTTTTCTCTCACAACTCTATAAATAGTTATCAGTTTCCCCCAAATCCGACATCTCTTATCCATTCGAATCATTCGCTCGTTTTCGATTTTTTGTTCAAGATTGTTTTTTTTTTTTTTTTTTCTTAAATTTCTGAAAGAAAAACCAAAAAAAGGAGGGGGAAAAATGTTGGCTGTGTTCAAGAATGGAGTGATTAACCCACCAAAGGAGCTTCATAGCGCAGCATCAACAGCTGGTTATGGGAGATCTAAAACTCCAGAAGAAACCCTCAAGGAATTTTTGGCCTCAAATTCCAACAATGGCTTTTCTCTGGGATTTGTGGACAGGGCCATTTTGGCCTATCTCCCACCAAACTCATCTATCAAGCCAAACCAAAGGTAACCCCTATATCTCCCGTTACGGAACCATTCCGTCGAGATTTGTTATCGTTACATGATCATGTAACCGTCGTGGATAGTTTATCTAATGGTTACAAACCCCCGACATAATGATTTAGTAATGGGATCGTAGAATCTCCCTCTAATATATATAAGGTTGATGTGATTTATCTCTCTTAATTGATTTAGATTATGATTGTTCATTCCTAGAAGATATGAAGAATAAATTGTGGTTGATGTAAATGACCTATTTGGTAGACAGGTTTAATTTGAAATATAATGCTAAAAAAATGACATTCTTGTATCAAAATTTTTTGATAAAAGAGAGAGAGAGAGAGAGAGAGAGAGATAGAAAAGACTTAGGGTTGGTTAACGGTTAGACTGATTCATACAAGAATCAAAAAACAAGATGACATTTTTACATCAAAAGTATGCATTTTTTGTTAAAGAGAAAAGAATTACGTTCGACCCATCTAGCGGTTCGGACCGATTCATACAAAAATTTGTGCTTTGAATATGAGAATTGCTTAATTAATTTGTTGTAGATTGTTCTGTGGTGTGGATGATGTGTACTGTATTTTCATGGGGAGTTTGAACAACTTGCCCAACCTCAACAAACAGTATGGGCTGTCCAAGGGTGGAAATGAGGCCCTTTTCGTGATCGAGGCCTACCGGACTCTCCGTGACAGAAGCCCAATTCCGGCCCATCAGGTCCTGAAGGAGCTCGAGGGCAGTTTCGGGTTTGTGATCTATGATCACAAGTATGGGATTGTGTTTGCTGCCCTTGTAAGTGCATTTTTATCTCACCATTAACAAAGATTAATGGACTTTTTTGTTTCTTTTGTGGTGTTCTAATATGTTACACAGTTATTTGAAAAGGAAAATAAGTAAAGCCCATTTCATTATATAAGTATGATTATTTTGTAAGACAATATAATATGACTACACATTTGCTTCTGTTTTTCTATAATTGATCACCCAAGAATTGGGAACTTGTTATGCGTATAGTGTTTGCATTAACATTTTTGGGGCATGTTGATTTGTTTTTAACAAGTTTTTAGGCCTCTAGGACAATTTTGTAAGTATTATTCCCAAGTAGATATTTGTTTTCTTGCAGGGTTCGGATAAGGCAGTGAATATGTTCTGGGGTGTAACGGCCGATGGCTCTGTAATGATCTCAGACGATGTTGGCCTAATTAAAGCAAGCTGCATCAAATCTTTTGCCCCATTCCCTAACGGTAAGCGTATAATTTGATCTCTCATTCGTCATAATTTAACATTGTGTAGATTTAAAGTAAAAAGATTCGAATTCTTGATTCGTAATTAGACTTTTTTTTTTTTAATGTATAGGATGTATGTACCATAGTGAGAGGGGTTTGATAAGCTTTGAGCACCCAATGCATAAAATGAAGGCTATGCCCAGAATTGATAGTGAAGGGGCAATGTGTGGGTCTTATTTCACGGTCGATGCTTATTCCAAGATTAATAGCATGCCGCGCGTTGGGAGTGCCGCCAACTGGGCTACCTGGGGCTGATCGACTAGCCGAGAAGAACATTTTTTTTTTTTTTTTTTCTTGTTTTCCCTAATTTGAGAATGTTTAATATTTTTACCATGTGTTTTCTATTTGATGTTTAAGTTGATGGATTTTTTTTTTTTTTTTTTTCACCCTCAGCATGTAAATATAATCAGTTATTAGGGGTTTGGAAGTGGGCTTTGGGGAAGGATTTCTTCAGTAATTATTTTGTTAGTGTGATTGGTTTTTAGTCTGTATAAAGGAGTTAATGTCTTTAAATATTGATTGTAAATGTCAATTTGTCATTAGCTTTTATTTGATAGTATCAATGTATCATTACCTTTCATAGTCACATGCAATAAAAGTGTATTTTATGGGTACTAAATACTAAATGCAATTTTTCTGTTGCTTTATAGTTGGTATAATGACTATTTTTTCAATTCAATATTATTGTGGGTATTAAATGAAATTAAGAACAACACAATAAGAGCACTCCAATGGGCCTTTAATTGTAGAAATATGGAAGAATTTCAACAAAAAAACATCTCCAATCCTCAATGTCTAGCTGCTAATCATAATGACGTGGCTGGAGAGAGAGTGAATAAAATCTAGCACTCTCTCTACATTTAAAACTCTTTCTAGACATGCTGAGTCAGATTATTCCACCCACTATCTTTTTTTATTATTATTATTATTAAAAGATCAAATTTGTTAAGAAAAAAGGTGTAACCACTGGAGACATTTTTATGGTATTGAACTCCAACTTATTCCACGTTGATGGAAGTCCTCTATTTAATTGCCACACAACCTCCGATTCATGTTCATGATTGGAGATGCTCTAAAGACATACAATCCGACCGACCTGCATTTCATGATTTTGTCTGCTTTTGTAACTTCATCTTCTCTCTTTTTTTTTTTTAATTATTTAAAGTTAATTAAAATTTTTAATTATTATCATTTCCTTTTATTTTGGTTGTTTTACATAAGCTGAAAATTCTAACATATTTAGAAGGGATAGTCTACTGTCAAGTACCTTTTGTACCTAACTAACATTAGGTACCCCTTTATATCCCCATTAGATTGACTTAAAATCAATATGAACCATTAGATTAAGGTACGAGGTTGGTACGAGATAGCGAAAATTCTATTTTGCCTCGTACCACCCTTGTACCAACCTCGTACCCCTTGGACTTGTAAAAAACCTATAATACCCTTATGTCATTAAAAATTAAAATAAATTATAAATTTACAATTCTATTTATCTTTAAGTCCTTACATCTAAATTATTTATATAACAATCCTTCAAATACAAAACTATTTCATCATAACCTTTAACATTTAACAAAAATTATCCAACATCATTGTTCTTGGATTTATTTTATTTTATTTTTTGCTGTCTCTCCCCTCTCTTATCTCTCTCTGTATCGGTGACAAATTTCACCATCTTCATCGGCGGTAAATCTCAGAAACCGTCGGCCTCACGGTACTCTCGGCACTCTCTCTCTCTCTCGTCGGCTATCTCTCTCGGCCTCTGTAACGTCGTCGCCATCATGGTACTCTCCGTCTCTCATTGTCCGAAATTACAGAATTCTTGGTCCGATTTAGGTATTTGGTCCGAAAAGGGTTAGACATGAATTTGGGTTTTTGGTCCGAAATTACATAATTTTTAGGTTTTTTAGTTAAAATTTGTATTTTGAGTTCAATTAAAATATCTTTATGAATTGGTTAAGCTTGAATTGGTCTATTCGATTTTGCTTTAATGTTGCTGTAATGTTTGAATAACAATGTGGTGTTTGCATTTGCTTTATGCTTGGTGTATTGAGGGTTGTTGTGTGTTTAGTTCATCGTCAAATTTGGCCCAGCCGTTCTTGTTTTCTTTTTCATTTGTTTTTTGGTGCACATTTGATGTGGTTTGTGTGCACTTGAAGCTCGAGGATCTTGTTCACTTCAAGCTTAAACAGGGTTTTGATGCTTTTGTCGATAATCCGATGAAGACTGGGAATGCGCCCATCATGGATTGGACGCAGGAGTGTTTGGGGATAGCGGAGAGGTTAAAGAAGCCCTTCGCCTCGCATAATTGGCCGAGCAGCAGCGGATCGAAGCGGGAAGAGCCGCCGCGGTCGGCAGCGGCGCTGCATTTGGAGTTCAATCGGAGGGCGTCTCTGGTTGGGTTTTGGATCCACCAAACGTCTCAGAAGCTAGCTAAGCTGGCAAAATGTGAGGGTGTCTTAATTTTAGGGCTTGATTTTTCCTTTTGTGTTAGAAATTGAGCAAACCGATCTGGATTTGGAGCTTATGATTTCAATTTGCCGTTTCTAAGCTTGTATGGTAAAGAGCCGAGCAATAAGCATTGGATCGGGATATACCATCCCCTGCAGAAGTCAGCTAAATAATTTGGTTGGATGTATTTTTCAGCAATGTGACCCTTTGTTCATTACAATTTCTGTAGCATGTGCGAGAGATGCTGGTATACCTGCCTTGTCTACAGTTGTGCCTGGTTGAAGGGTGGCAATTTTCAGTGTTTAAGTGAATTGAGTCATAAATTGTGTGTAAATTCCCCTTTGGTTTTGGGTATCTGAGAGAGATGGCTTGTGGCTTAGAATGCTTGCAGGTTTTGTATCCCATCTCTGACATCCCAGCATTTCTTTTGCTGATTTATTTCTTAATTTATCTCGTTAGGTGTCTTACCGGATATTTGGATTGAATTGATATTCAGTTTTGGGATTCTGATTTTGTGTTTGGCTAATAGTGCATATATGTTCATATTTATATGGATTTGAAATCTAATAGTGGGGCAGTTTTTAGGTATGTTTTATTCATTCGGTTCTCTATCTCCATGCTCGTTTTCTTATTATTAGTCATTGTTTAATTAATGAGTTCATAGTTGTATCCAGTGCTTTAGGAGATGCTAAATGTGAATTTTAGAGGACAGTGTATTTTGATCTTGTCCAGCAGTAGCAGTCGATCTTCATTGTTCGACCAAAACCTTCACTCTTTCAGATTCTATTATTTGTTTATTGGAGAAATGTAGATGTTGTAATCTAGTTGTCCAACCTTAATTATTTTTGCTTAAACAGATGCAACAAAAGGATAAACCTGAACTTCTTGAGGTCCAAAATGTTGTTATAATCACACTTGGGGGACTTGAACTTCAGGTTCAGCCTAATTTACTTTGAATTACATCCACATTCTCAAGAGTGTGCTAAATTTTATCTATGATATGGTGAAACCTGAAAATTAGTTTTTCTCAGCCCATTATATATGATCACACACACATATATGTGTATGTATATTGTTGTAAAGTATTGTTAGCATGATTAGCCCAAAAATGAGATTATGAAATACAATTTAGCTTCAGTTCTCGCAAAGTGTAGCTTTAATTTTGAGATTTTGTTAAATTTTTCGTGTAGGAACAAGATATTTGACTGCGTCCTTTGCTCTTATGGTCGGACCACAGGGCTGCGTGGTTGGCGTAGAGCATATTCCTGAATTGGCTGAATCATCGGTTAAGAATATCGAAAAGAGCGAAGCAGCCACATTATTGAGAGAAGGACTGCTCTCAATCCATGATGTTGGTATGTTATTTCTCATTCTCTTGATCTTGTATTTCAATCCATTTGATATTAGTTTATGCATGGGTTTTGATGATGGTTACATCCACAGAAATGCTTTCTGGTTTTAAAGTGTTGGTTAAACACTTTTTAACACATTCAGATTTCATAAGATGATTTAATTTGATGTATACTTCAGATGGCCGGCAAGGGTGGCCGGAGTCCTCGCCTTACGAAGCCATTCATGTTGCAGCAGCTACGCCGGAGATCCCTCCGGCACTCATCGACCAATTGAAATCAGGTGGCAGATTAGTGATTCTGATTGGGAAAAGCTCTCAGGACTTGAAAGTGGTGGACAAAAATGCGGATGGCACAATCAGCGTAAGGACCGGGTTTTCTGTTCGTTATGTCCCTCTCACGATCCGCGAAGCTCAGTTGCGAGGAAAGTGATGGACTTAACAAGTTTTTGCATTACATTGGTGATTGAATTATGGGAATGGACTTAAAAATTGAATCTCTCTATTTCTCATTCCATTTGTGGTGTAAATGTTTGTTAAAAGGGTGACAGACGGTGCAACTTTCTAGGGGTATGAGATACATTAATTTAATTTGAAATAGTGAAATATTATTCAGAATTGCAGTTTATCGTTTAGAGGTTGAAATGTGACACAAATCAGACACCAAAAGTTCTTATATAATCATTTCATTTGTAAAAGGTTACATAAATTTTGATATCTTGGGCATAGTTTATAGGGGAATCACTTTTCTATCCTTCACTGTGACACCTTTGATTTAGTACTGACTTGGTATAACCAACATACAAAGCCACAACTTTCATGTCATCAATTAGTCAATAATAATTCAATCTCTCTTAAGCTTCCCTATAGTTGCACACTGCAGTATTCCCCAATTCATACAGCTACATGGATAATAAAAGTGACAATTCCTTAGGTACTGTTGTTGGTGTATTTTTGTTGTTATATATTTGTTTGTTCTTTTCGTGGTAATTTTTACCAAACGGTGACCTCACATTAAAATACATACATATTTTGTTCATTTTTTTTGCAGGCCCAAGAGGTGACCTTCGGGTCTATTTGGAAGGATTGGCGACATGTGACAATGTGCAGAAATATGTCGAGCAAAATCCTTTTGGTCAAAGTCCTATAGACGAAACTAGTCCGTCTTGGGGATTTTATTCAAAGGTTCTCCAGACACTCAATCGGGGATTTTAAAGAACTTTTTTAGGTGCTGAAGCTTTAGTCTCTTAGACTTTGTTTTTTAGAGCAGATGTTCGTGTTGGAAATTTTAGAGCAGACGTTATTGTTCGTTTTTTTCCTTTTTCCTTGTGTAGGCCTTCTTTTGAAACATCATATTCTTGCACACTCTAACTGTAGTCGATGGTTTACATAATAGTCCGAGTTCATATTCTCTTGCATTTTAGTTTCTGTATCTTCTCTGTGTGTATACTGT